GGGACGAAAAGGGGCACACAACATTTGGTAATGGTACAAATCAGTAAAACTATTGTTCTCAGTACTCTTACCGATTACAAGTAAAAACATTTTTTCCCTCTTGTCTTAATGTCAAACTTAATGCCTTCAAATACTAGCATTGTTGGTAGGGAGAATAATTTCTACACCATCGAAAGGGAAGTGTTAATTTGACAATTGAACGCGACTAACATTAACAACTAGATGACTGGCATATGCGAAAGAAATTAGTTCATATTACTTGAACACTTTTATTTAGCTTTGAAAGGGGTTGCGGAAAGAATAAAAAATGGACTTTTCAAAATAATCGTTCGAACTTCCAATTTAAATAAACTTTTCAATTATGATTTATATTTTGTCAAATTTAGAAATGAACAAGCTCCCTGGCTTTATAAAGGTACACGCCATTGCATGACAACGGAGTCTGAGTATGAACGAGCCTTAAAATCTTCTTTATTCAAAACAGGGTTTCTCGATTATTTCTCTTTTCGTTGCGAGAATTTTGGCACACATAAACAACAGACCTCTAGATACAAAGAACAATAAAATTTATGCGTATGGCCGATGTTTAAATTAACAGACATGAGTTCAAACCATTCAAACGTACGAAAAATAAAAAAGCACATTGAAAAATTGATCGTTGTCATGCTCGTGATTGTGAATATTTCATATCGAGTCTATTTTATCATAGGTACTTATTAGATTACCTACACATGTCGTAATAAAAGGTCAGTAGAGATTACATGATATACAGGGCGTCCCACGGCTACCTCACACGGAGGGAAAGTATATTCAATATAGAAGATAGGATATTTTACTGAAAGATGACATCGTTTTATTTTTAATAATAATTTGAACTGCACTCACAGATTTTTTGCAACTAGGAATCAAAATCGTGAAATTTTGAAAAAAAACACGACATATTTTTTAATATAACCATCGAAAGGGTTGATCATAGGATTATTTTTTGCTAAATAACATAGCATTTTAAATGTGAATGCAGTTCTAGTTATTATTAAAAATAAAATGATGTCTTCTTTCAGTAAAATATCCCATCTTCAATATTTTATATACTTTCCTTTCGTGTGAGGTAGCCGTGGGACGCCCTGTATAAACATACCTTCGGTTTTGTGAACAATCTTTTCATCAAGAAGATATCATTCTGAAATAGCATCTCTTTAAACTTTAGCAACTTACACTTTTGTAGTTTTTTTTACATAATATTCAGAAACATTGGTTTACTATAGACTATAATAAAATATAGAATAGAGAATAAAATAACCTTTTTTACGCGTAGAATAAGTTTAATTCAAGATAATAGTTTTACCATTGTCGACTTGGTTAATTTGCATGCCCGCTGTATTATTAGCTTTCCAGGGCTAACTGTCTTCGAGTCAAAGACAAACAAGCGGCAAAACTACGTAAATACAAGCCAATTAGTATTTACATGTATAAAGAATATTGTAGTGTTTCTTTTGGAACAGGGCGTGGCACTGACACTCATATTACTGACACACGTAGGACAGCTGTTTTGTCTATGATAGCGAACCGCTTTATGTCAACGTAGCTGTCAAACTTCATTGGTTGGGTTGGTAACATTGAAGCAATAGTTGCTTTTTTCATTCGACTTAAAAATCGACTTCAATTTATAAAAAAAAATGGTTGCCTGTAAAGTCGGTTTTACGGGCGAAGATTTTACGTGACAACGTCTTTTTCTCGGTAGAATATTTATTGATATGAATATAATTAAATTGCACAATAGGAACAAGGAATTGAATGAAAATAAGAATTGCACAAATTTTAACTATAGAAATATATTTTGTTTACTAAAACATTGTACATGTAAACTTAAACTTAACACGAGAGACTCATCGTAACGTTACCGAGCGTTACACTTTTTCATAAGTGACTCCCAGCCGCAACCTAATTTAAGACGTTGTCACGTCAAAAAAGAGAAATCCGTTGGTTTGAGTTGTTGTGTGTTGATGGATGGATTGAATTTACAAGTTGCTCAATTTTGAATTATTATTTTTCATATCGATTTGAGTCCTCAATCAGGCACTTTAACAAGGTAATATAAAAGACTGCATTTTATTCGAAATTAAATTTCCTCGTTGATTTGGGCAGGTATTTTCTTTTATTGCATGTTGTTTCCCAGGCAGCGGCTGTCTGTTTGACTGTGGCCTTTGCCTTCACTTGGAGAGAGAAAAATCATAGACACAGATTTGGTAGTTGATGAATCTTTCTCTATGCTCAGTTTTCAAAACAAGATTTGAAAATTTATTTGATCTTTCGCCGTTTTGTTTTCTGCCCAAAGTATATTGAAAAAGGGACGATCTAGCAACGTATTTAATGGATAATTAGATCCAAAAAGTTTATATCCTAGTGTATTGGCAGACATAGCGCGAGAACGCTAAGCGAACAGTTAATTAATGTGAAAACATCCCGAAAGGTAAAATTGTCTTCCTTCTCTACTTATTTTGCAAGTTATGGCTATGAAAAATAAACTTTCTATTGGTCTTCCGTATCGTATGTAGATTGTTCTGGAATCATGCAAGGCAGGGCAGAATATTGTGATAGGGAGAACTGAGTAACAGAATGATTTGTGGATGGACAAAATTCACATCTGGAACCGGTAAACCTGCCCAATTGTTCCCCGATTTTATTCTCCTAGAACTAATTGATTTGCAGGCCTTTCACTATGCATGATATGGTGATAAGTCTCATCAAATATAATCATTCTTGTCAAATAAGTGAACATGAAATTGATTTCGTTCAACTCAATAAGATGGACCTCCCGGTCATGTAGTCATTCCAAAATGTAAACATTAACAGTGAATATCCCTCACCCCCATCGCTAGTAATGCAAATGTAATAATCTATGTATTTTCCTAATGTCTGACAAGTTTTATCAATGTGAAACTTCAGGGTGTTACGTTCTCCTCAAGAAGTACAGAAGAAAGAACAAGCTAATAACAAGGAGATTCTCTCTCTATACACGGACCAGGAGGGACGCATGAGTGATTTATATTAGGTAGCTATAACTTTAAAACTACTGTATTTATCTGATAAGCCATTGGAATACTTAAAATTTATATTAAGCCATTTTCTTTATGATATCAGTTAGTAAAATATAATTATAACATTATCTTTATTTTTTGTTTTCTTTCTTTGTTTCCCCTGTGCTTTGAGGTGGACTGGTGGGAGCAGTGGAGGGAGACAAATATTATTACATGTGGCGCCCAAACAAGTGGAAAGGAGGCTTTGTAGCATTTAATGTTGCTCTTTGTTTGGTCAATTACTGCTCAAAGAAGGTTGATCGGTATTGGTGAATGATTTTTTTTGTCTTGTGAGGTAGAGATAGAATCAGAGTTAGATATTATTATGGAGAAATTAGACAGTTTAGATGATCTTACTTCTCAAACTTCTCTCTATGGCACTTAACCGTATACAGTCTTTACAGGCACATCACTTGTTTCATAGACTTAGTCATTTAGATTCTGATAATGATGACAGCATAGCCTCTCAATTACAAGTGCTGCAGGAACGTCTGGATAAGTTTCTTGTTAAGTTTGATAACATTATGCACCATTTTAAGAGTAGTTCAACGCAGTTGCCTCCGAAAGAACCTAGCAGTATCTATACTGCTTCTGAACGCACTGGGAATGCTTCCCCTGACTCTGGTGCTGCTGTACATAAACTAAACATACGGTTTAATGGGCAAACCTGTGTAAAGGCATTCCTGCAGCGATTAGAGGAGTTATGTTTGTCTCGTGGTGTAACAGATAGTAAATTGTTCAATTCTGCAGCTGAATTGTTTACAGACGAGGCTCTTTGTTGGTATCGTGGTCTGCAAACCGAAGTACATAGCTGGTTAGAGTTAAAAAACTTGCTTCTTGATGAATATTTGCCATCAGATTATGATCATAGTCTATTACAAAAGATCCGGTCTCGCACCCAGGGTTCCGATGAGAGCATAGTAAATTATCTTAGCATTGTGCAAAACTATACAAACTATTACAAATATGTGAACTAAACTTGAGCTAACTACTGAAATGAAAAAAGTTGAAAGTTTCCTCTGGTCAGGCGGTATCGAGTATGCATATAGAGTTCCAAATGCATAGATTACATTAGATAGCGATGATCGATTACGTTGAAAGAATGATCGACATATTCTTCACTACTTTTCGCATCAACTTTGTTAATTGACGTTTGACTTTGGATAATGTTGATTTTTTGCTGACTCAGTGCGTCTTCAAAAAATAAAATATGAATCAAAATGTTCTCATTATGGATAATTTTGATCTTTTGCTGACGTAGGTCCTCAGATTTTTTAAAAATAAAGTTAGAATTGAACAGCCGTGCTATTCTGAGAGAAAAAACACATATCACCGCAGCATTCGCAATGTGATTTGAAATTAGAATACGATTTACAAATAAATTTCAAATCACACGATGAAAAGTATGTTTGTTCCTACGTAATAGCACTACTGTTCAATTCTCATTTGACTTAAAGTTTTTTTTTGATGGACATAAACAAAGCTTATGCGTAGGAAAATCCTATGTCCATGATTCGAAGAAACAAACAGGTGAAGAAAGATAATTTTCTTTTTAAGTAGATAATGGTGTCGATTCTGACACGATTCTCTAAACATTAACCTAAATTTGACAACAGTGTATAATTGTCATTCTCAATAAATTTAGTTTTAAGATTAGAGAATCATGTCAGAGTCGACACCAATATGGGACTAAAATAAGGACATTGTAGGTCAAGGAATCTTTGTTCACAAAGTTTATAACTGCGAAGATTTTTCCAAATGATGGGAATATTGATTTATCTTCTATCTTGCTTCATATCAATTGTGAGTTATGGTGCCTTTATTTTATGAGGAGATACATATTTATATTTATGAAGAGAGCTATAAGATAATGCTTATATTGAGAAAAAGGGAAAAAGGCAATTGGATGTTATTGTCTTCACTTCAATTCAATATGTTGGAACCTTTGGATGTCATCAGCCCGTCAATATTAGTTGTGAAAATTGCCACCATCTAATAAAAATAACGAAATGTTTGGAGTATAATACTAGACTTTACTCGCGAATTCGTTCGACTTAAGAATTTAGAAAATCTACCCGAGGATGAATTTTAGATTTATATTTTTTTTTTTTGATAATTCCAGAGGTATCTAAATTTTATCTAAAATAAAAAAGGATCGCACTTATGTCCCAAATTGGGTAATAAGCTCATTGAAAACGCTTTTGCATGATCGAGTAACAAATATTTGAGGTTCACATCTAACTTTCACATTATTAGGAGATTTTTTTTTCTTTTTTACCCCAGTATGTGGTACGTCATTATCTAGAGCTTGTTCAGTAGAATATAAATATAATTTTTATTATTTTTACTTTTAATAACAAAGAAATGGGAAGCCTTAAAAGTTGTCAATTTTAGACCATTTTTGTTACGGGGTCTATCGCAAAATCGAAACTAGTACGGAATGTTAAATTTTGGTATATGAAGTCCCACATGCTGTATTTAAACAACAAATACTGAAAACGCCGATTCATTTATATATTCATTCATTGTAAGTTGTGACGAAAACAAACAAATGATTTTTCCTTTCGCGGTTTGCTATACGGAACCCGTCGCGCACGAGTCCGACTCTCAATTGACCGATTCTTTTTTGATATTGACGTGCCAAGGGATAGGACGCCAAAGAAGGCTTTGGATGCTAAGAGATTATTTTTTGTCTGGATGTCAAACATTAATCAGAAAACTCTTAGGAAGTACATATAACCTTACCTTCGAAACCCTCAAGGTGAGGATGGCTGATGTATTGTGATAGTGGAAGTTGAAACTGCAACAGGCTATCTTTGTGTCTGGACTCAAACACGGCTTATCATCAATTGTGCTAAATACATTTGCTTATTACCAAAGATGGTGTATTAAAAAGAGGTAAATAAGGTATCTTCTAACGGGCGGCTATTACAATTTGATCTGCTGCGTTACACATTCAAACGTGTTCTTACGTCTAATAAGATAGTCCTTCGCCTTTTTTGACTTTCCATAACTAAGTTTTTACTCTTTTACAACACACAATTCGGCATTTGATTTATTTTAGAGCGCGATACCCAGCCGCTTCACCAACCGCTCTGATATTATAAGACTAAGTTGCATTGTGTCAATTGACACAATATGAGCTTAGCAGTTTTCGCGCGCTAGTGTGGTATCTACATCTTTTTAATACACTATCTTTTCTCTGAGGTATAATTCAAAAAGAATTCATACGTACCGTCGTGAGAATCGTAGATATAAATGACGTTCTTCCATCCGTAATAAGTAATGGTGTCGATGACTGCGCGGTGGTAGTCCGGACGCATACTGACTGCATAGTCAATGAGACCCGACGACGGTGGGATGACCTGCAAAATAAACATATTTTAATGCTAACAACACAGAATAGTTAACCTAAATATCTTAGAACGGTTTCAGCGTCGAATCAATATCGTGAAGACGCGTTCGCTTACAGCAATTATTGAAATTTAAATAAAACAAGTTTCAACGGGTAAAATGAAGTGATTTTATATATTTATTGACGTTTCGCATCCTCTGCCGGAATGGGTGATTATTGTAAATCTTTTATCCAAGGCTCATTAATTTTATATAGCTTTACATTTTATAACAAGTGCAGTGAAATAAATCTGATATCAAGTAGAGCAGAGTTGCGGCGTAAAAATTAAAGCATAGCATTAGAGTTCAGGCCGGCCGGCCAGGTGAGGATGGCTGGAGCGGTACACTTAAAATTATGTGGGATACTTAGATTAAAATATTTTTGTTTTAATCAGAGGTGGGACATGGTAATTTGCGTGCGTCTTGTATTTCAAAATAATAATAAATTAATTAGTTTTTTAATTTATATTACTACACAATACGCGGTAAAATTGTATAACGAATGCAGTGACACTAAATATAAAAAATATAGCAGTAAAGCTAACAAATATTATAAATTTTGCATAATAGGCAAAAGGTTAAACAAAATATCTAAAATATTTTTCACAGGAGCGGGAATTCATGCGTCGTGGTGTGAACATTCAAACTGGCGGACAAGAAAAAAAAACTAAAATTCATACAAAAGAGGTTGACTGACGTGACTACATACCGAAGTAAAAAGTCTGCGTTACAATTATATTTTCTTCCTAATTTTTCTTATTTATTAATAATTGGTAATGTTAAAACATATTTTGATGTAATTCAACAAGCTTCCTTCATACATAATTTTTAAATATACCCACATTTAAATTCAAATATTTCGGTAGGTATTTGTGTAGCTTATCAGTTTTAATGATGACTGTTTGTGCCAAAATAAGGGTTGAGAAAAAAACCTAAGCGCAGGCTGCAGCGTCCAGCAAATAGTCAAACAATAAATTGTAATCTCTTAGTGGCAGTTTGAAATATTGATGTGATTTGTTCGTGTTTCCATTTGTAATATTCCCTTTTGACATTTATTATTGTTAGACTTCGATTCAGGGTACATGTAAAGTGCGTGAACATTTTTTTTTATTCAAAATAACTTTGAAGTTCTTTCAACCTTAATAAATTATGTTCCTACCGTTTTTATTTATATTTTTTTCTTTGAGGCTTGTAAACACAAAAAATTAGCCCATGAATAATTTTAACCAAACGCAAATTACTTTATTATTAATATATAATAACGTTATTTGATACATACAGTTAAATGTTACTATCAGTCAATGTCTCCTCAAAAACATAAAAAAGTGTAAAATTTTGACTAATGGTTACTTCTTCTAACGTATTTTAATTAAAGTCATATTTACACTATGTATCAAACAACGGTCTCTTAGTAAATAGGGTCTCGTTTTTGTTGTTTTTTACTTAAAAGCAGGTTATTCATACCTTTTCAGGAAACCATGGTGTGACAAACGGCATCTGGAACGTATTGGTGTACGAGTGTAGCGTGTCAAACGAGTCCGGCGTGACGGCTCCCAGCATAGCGATCACTCCGCGACCGAACTGGTTGCAAACTGTTGACAGCAAAAAGGATATTAAAGGACGTGATAGGTACGACAATTAAAGAAGCGTAAGGGACGCATGCAATCCGCACGGGCTATAGACGCTAAGATTTTAGGGAGTATAATTTTGTGTGATGAAATATTAAGGTGCTATTATGAGTAGAATGTCGAGTTACCGACCAGCACCGTCTCAACGCGTGTGGTTGATATTCCTTTTATGGATTTCTATGGGTATTAGTTCACTACATAAACTCCGTACCATCAGAGGAACGCTTCGCTTGCACGATTGCCGTATGCTGGCTATAAACGTGTTGCTCTTGGGTGGGCCGCACATTGCCAGTGAGATGACAACCCATTCCATTTTTTTCTTTATCAAACGTGACAGCTATTAGAGCCAAATCACATTTTTTTGCAAAATTCAACATTGTGAAAACACACGTATAAATTTCGTGACGATCTCTAACACACTGCTTAATTTTCGCTGACATTCCGGAGTCAACTACGGCGTTGACCCATCGACCACCTGACGTTCACTGGTTGACATCAATGCGTCTACCCATGGCCCACCCGACGTTGGCTGGCTGACAACGAGGCGTCCACCTGAGTTTGCTCGTCGACGTCGCGCGACGAGGCAGTGCCTCTCAGCTATGTCCTTAACGCTGTAAGCTACTCATGGTTTCTACAGTTGATAACGTGCATCAGAATAGAAGATTTATTCATTTCAGAGTACAATTATACTATTTTAGTCTAATTTGGCTGCATTCTTGTATGCTGGACGATACTTTACCAGTAGGATTCTCGAGTAAGACCTGATTACTTGCTACGCTTTTTACCACTCTCTTGTATTTAGGATATTGATTATCTGATATCATAACCAGATGATGATGTAAATCATTTCTATTTATTTATACACCCGGACCTTGATCCAACTGGAACCCTGGGTGTTACTACTAGTTTTCGACTATTCATATTTTAAAAATCTAGTCCACAAAAACAATTGGTAAATTAGAGAAAAGTTATTTTTTTAATTGAAAACCGACTGTTAGATCCCAATGGCATAGCGAATTCCATACAACCGTCTCTTGGCCTCGTGGGTCTTCAATACAAATAGTACAGACATTCGATGAGGGGTCCTCGAGGAGTACTTACCTAAACACACCCGCATATTGGGCCGCCTGTCGGGTAAGGGATGGGTCGCTTTGCCGCACAATTGTCTCCTAGATATTCGTATTGATTGGATATCAGCTGAATTAGTTTTCAGCTTTCGAAGACACATATACTGACTCGGGCGATTCTCTAGTAACGTTATTAGGAATTTCAAACCTCAAGATTATGGGTTGTACCACGAAAATGGGACTTACAGAAAAGATACGCGTTTAGGCAAATGTTTGTATGATATCTTCTTTTAATGCCGGCGCCTCACTTGGCTATTTTTAAACTTGACATCATTATATCCATATTATGCTTTATGAGGGATGAAAAGGACAGACTGGTGTCAAGTTTACAAATAGCAAACACGAATAGCCAAGTGAAGTGTCGGTATTAAACAAGCTGGACGAACTTTTATGTGGTAAGCCTATCGCCTGTGTGGTAAGGCTACCACAAAAAAGACTTAAAGTCTTGAACTTATTTTAGAGCCAGCAATATAATAGTAATAGCATATATCGACAGTCACAACGGTGATATAAGTCCGATTGTGAGTCCGGTGTTAAACAAACCATCTGAATTATCAGCAATCACTCCTGAACAAGGATGTGAACAGGCATAAAACATATTAAAGGCCGATAAAGGCCGATTGCATCGATACAGCCGTGCCATTGATTCACAAGGAGCACAATAGTGCTGTTGAATAAACACAAATGCATGGTAGTCCATATCTCATAATGGAGAGTCAAAATGTATTGCATTGATTGGTAGTGTCATTGTGTAGGTATATATATAACAAAATCCTTTTAGTCACACCACTTAATACTCAAGAATAAATGGAGCCATTTTAATGAGCTCTGATGTTTTGGATCCATCTCCGCCCCGAATAGTAGAATAATTTTATTTTTAACATATCTGAAAAATTACGGACAATCAATCTACAATTGGCAGCTCAAGTCACGCATGTGCAAAGCGTATTTCTTTGTACTGCAAATTAGTAACTACTAACAATAGATATTTAAAAGTAGGCATCAAAAGAGAAAAATGTGGAAAAAATGCTTAAATATTATTATAGAGATATTGTAATTTTAAGGAAATGCTCTGATCATAAGATGCGCTGATATTTTGGCAAGGAGACGTAGGATATAGGTACTCGTAACGTCAATATTGTAAGTGCATCATAGCGTTTCGTTTCAACATAATATATAAATTTTAGTTCGTTTCGTCTCAGTTTCGAAAAATATTGAACCGTCCTTAAATTCCCAAGAAGTCTTAAGTTACTGGGAGATTACTTGTACATGTATAAAGATGAAATATAATTAAAAAAATAACTAAAACTAAACTGTTTCTTAGGTTTTCACACACACCACTCATTAAATAAAATAAGTTTCAACGGTATAGATGCACTGATTTATTTATTTATTTATTGACGTTTCGCATCCTTTACTAGATCCGTCGTCTGAATAATCGTTTCGCATCCTTCTAAATTTCGCATCAATCCTAAAATTAAACTGTTCATAAACTTAAAAAGAAAGAAAGCTCAGGGTCGATGGTGCGGTTCCTTTATCTTAACTCGTCTTCAGTAGTAGCATAGCTTAGGAACGATACCGTCCTTGATGGTGACGGTGGTAGGTGCAGGAGAAGCAGGGCAATAGAGCAGGGCAGGACAGCAGTGTAGGTTCAGGTAGCGGTAGGAAGCACGGTGGTAACAAGATAACAGATGTAGGGAATGATAGGCCGGTGAAGAGTGTAGGTAGGTAGGTAGACCAGCTGGTATGAAGTTCCTAACTGGTAGGTGGTCTCTGGAATTTCCATACGACACGCTGTGAGAATGGTGTTCGTTCTTCACCCTGACTGCATCAGCATACTCTGGTTAGTACCGTACTAGGCGTATCGTGCCATAACTTATTACCATATGGTAATTAAATACCATAGGAATATTCCAATCAATGTGAGGCAGTCAAGATTGATTGTAAAACATAAACTTTAAATAAAGAAATAATCAAATGAAAACTAAAAGTAAGTCATTATCATTTTCGTAATTAAATATATGCACATTAGTTTTCTTACAATTAGTTGTAAAACTTACCCGATTACGGGGATACAGGCATAAAAAATTAATACAAAGACTTAAATAATGGTTGAGAATAATAGTAATTATTATATGTAGTTTAGCAGTAGTGCAGCTTTTTCTTTTTTTTATGGCATGCATATAGTGCAGCCTCGACAATTCTTATACAATAAGGCAGAGTCTTCGTCCTCAATTTCAATTTTGCGCGTTTTCGCGCGCGATCGAAAAGCCTGGTCTACTAGATTTACAGGCTTGGTGCGTTTTGATACTATCAGTAATGTTATTTTCTAAATAAATTTAGATCACGCATTACGTGACACTATGCCAATATAGGTATTTAACTCTATTAAATATCGATTTATTTATTATCGATTTCGAGTAAATTACTTTCTACAGCTGTCTGTTCTATAAAGAGTCAAAGAGGGACCTTAGTTAAGGACAAGACACAATAAATAATTTAATCCCATCTGAAACCTGGATGAGGTGGAAATTTTTTCTAGTAAAATTTTCTTAAGATTTAAACGTCTAGAACAATAAACAGTTAAATGCTTAAAAAAATGTTGTCTTTTGTGGCATAAAAAATGTTTAAGTGAAGTACAGGATCAACTTTTTTAATGAGGAACTAATTAAATAAACTACGTCTGTAAATATCCGTTGATAAGTTTCCATATTAATAAATAATACATGTTTGCTTTAATAAAAGTTATACTAATATTCGTAGGCGTAGTGGTTAACTATTAGTCTTCATACTTAAATGTGATGAATCATTCTGAATGAATGAATCACATGAATTAACCAAGAATTAGTTGACTTCATTGCAACAACAATGTCAACAACAAAATAATAAGAAGCTGTCACCATCGCAATTGTCTTCTTAGCTATCCAGTTCAACATATTTCATCATCATCATCATCAGCCTCTGGATGGAATAGGGAGATTGGGCCATGACCCATCACGCGGTCCCAGTGCGGATTGGCGGGTGCAGATGCAGCGGGATATGACCTGGACCGGGACCAAGGGCTTAACGTGCCTTCCGAAGCACGGAGGAACTCCAGATAGAATTCTTTGGTCACCCATCCAATGACCGACCACTGCGAAAGTTGCTTAACTACAACGATCGCAGCCGAACGCGCTTACCACCTGCGCCATCGAGCTTATTTCATCAAGAAAAGTAAGATTAGTTTGTCAACATCGTGCATTAAATTAAAATGAGAATGTATTTAGTTTCACAACATTGGAATTTGAATTTAAACGCCACTACAACGAATAAGTAAAATAAATTTGTTTCAGTCATTTCACAACAAAAACTACACCCTGAAATATTTAAAGTCTTTTGTTCTCCGATTTTGTTAGCCGGTGAGTAACATTAACATAACATCAAAAATAATGTTACATATTTGGCTATGATATTATTTGTACCTATCAACCTACTAACCTTAAACTTATTTAGTGCACAGAATGGTATCGTAATAATAATAATAATATTTTTTGGAACCACTTTACATTTTCGTACATGATAATATGAACCCTACCCTCTGGAAAAGGTTACCCTGAGGACCACTATTGTTACTTTAGACCTACAATAATTTAAAACTACTAAATAAAAATTATATAAAAATAATATTAAAAAAGTACCTAGGTATAGCATAAACCGGTGTGTGTGTGTGTTTGTGTGTGTGCGTGTGTGTGTATATGTGTGTGTGTGTGTGTGTTAGTGTGTATTTATATGTACCTGCGTGCGTGTTGTGTAGCGTATGTGCATTTGTAATAATTGTTATTAAAATATTTTTTCCTGCAATGCCATGTAAATTCGAAGCGAAAGCGATACTACACTGCTTGTTCTTCTTACAAGTCACACGTTTCCCTTATAAATCAATCAATTTCAGAACAAAGATGCCTCGACCATTTCTACTCCATTAACTTTGTTTTCATGCTTCGATTTCTAAGTAATAAACAATCGTACATCAATGTTCGGACGTTGAATCTTCTTAATATCGTGATGTATGGGGAAAAAAAGGATTTTTTTGCACACTCCCATCAGAGCTATAACGAAAATCTGAATCTGTAGTTTAAAAAAATACTCAGTGCATAATATGAAAGCAAAAAAGGATATACCAGCTGCTGAATTTTACGCGAATGGTTTATAATAATGGACATTGTACTTCCGGAAAATATTTAAAGCGATTGCGAAACTGTCACTATTATTTCGGGATCACAATACACTGCTTTACTAACCTTAGCACGAACCAATATCGAATTCGAATAGTTTGCGAGTCCAAAATGTTACTGCTGTACCAGCTATCTTCGCGTTTGGACTTTATCACTACGTAACATCAGGTGGGGTGGAGTCATTTGCCTACCTCGCTATAAAAAAATATATGTTTAAATATTTCAGCTGTTTTCAGCGGTCATCACAGTTTGAGCCCAAATTTTTCTTGCCATTTATTAGATTTAAACATCTAGCAGTTAAATTCTTAATAAATAAAAACATAAATATTAGAACACTGTTATTTGGCTGGTCTTCTGTAACTTTTATTATTTATTACCTTGAAGAATTCAAGCGGAATATCTATTATCGTGCGAAAGTAAGATCAGTCGCCAACTCCTGGACATCTTCTATAATACATTAAAAAGTTGGTATTTACTACGGTACAGCACCTTAATCCCACAGCCTCCTTCGCTTCGTCGCAACCCAGAACTATAGCATCGAGACGAACTTTTTACCAATACATGAATTCACAGTGCGGGTGGCGAGCCCATCGTATGGTGCAGAGCGAAACTCCGGTTATAGGGAAAAACTATAAAGTATTGTTATTTATCGGAAATTTACGTAATCCGTCATTTTGAAGAGTTCCTAGGAGACATACGAGTTAGTAAATCATTCATTTCCATAAGCTACGCGAAATGTGATTAGTAAAATGATGAAATACATGGATTCCTATGAATTC